AGAAAGGAGGGTCAATGCGCGCTGGGCGATGAGGAGGAGGTGGCGGATGATCAGCAGAAGGGCCGCCAGCTCCGGACGGCGCTTGGCTCTGATGGGACTGATTTCCACCACCACTACCATATGTTGGAGAAGGAGGAGGGGGAGAAAGAAGAGGAGGAGGAGGACCTCTCCCTCCAACCTATGGTAGTGGTGGTGGAAACCAAGCCCATCAGGCTCGGAGGCGGCGTGGCCGCGCTCCCGGGCCGCCGTGGCCGCGGAGCTGGCCGACGGAGCGGCTTCCGGCCCGCCGTGGTGCACTGCCGCCTCGCCGGGGCGCGCAGAGACCGGCGCGCGAGCCCCTGCAGGAGGAGCAGGGCCCCGCGGGCCGCCTTCGAGCGGGATCTGCAGCGGAGGCCCATGCCAAGAGGCACCCCGCTTGCCTCCAGGGTGCCCAGGGATTTCCTGGGTTTCGATGGTGTTGCTGTGGAAGGCGTGCCGCTCCCGCACCGAAAAAACCGATATAGACGTCCTGGGGTCTCGGGGTTACCCAGAGATCCGATGTCGTGATCTTTTCAAGACGGGGTCCCCGGAAGTCTCGACCCATTCCCCAGGACCGGTTTTCCATCCTGAGTCGCTTTTTGACGCTCCCGAGGCCCGGCGAGGGCCCCCAGGGGCCGGAATGTGCGAAAAAACCTCCCTCTTGATTTTTTCAGTGCGCAAGGCGTTGGACCGCGGGGTGGGTTTCTTTTTGGAACGTTTCCCGTGGTCGGGCCCCTGCCAGATGCCTCCAGGCCTCCAGGGCCGCGCGCCGAGGGGAGGGGGGCCCTGGCCCCGCGCCTGCTCCCAGCCGCGGACGAGGTTCATGTCCCTATCCGGTGCCCTTTGGACCTCTTTGGGAGCGGCGCCCTACAAGGCCGAGGCGCATGTTTATCGTTATCGTCTTCGTCGTCATCGTCGCCGCGGTCGTCGTCGTCGTCGTCGTCGTCGTCGTCGTCTTCGTCGTCGTTGTCGTCGCCGTCGTCGTCGAAAATGTCGTCCTCAGTGTCGTCGTGTCGTCGTCGTCGTCGTCGTCGTCGTCGTCGTCGTCGTCGCCGTCGCCGTCGCCTTCGCCGTCCCCGTCGCCGTCGCCGTCGCCGTCGTCGTCGCCGTCGCCCCCGAAGGGCGACGAGCCCTGCGCTCGAGGAGCCGCCGCCGAAGGCCGACGATAAACATCGAGCTCCTAGGGGGCAGATTTATCCATATCCAGTGCGCCTCGGGTTTCTCGGGAAGGGAGCCCGAAACTCCATACTGCACTGGGTATAGATCAGCGAGCGAAGAACGGTATAACATAAACTTTTCCGCCGTCGGGGACACACCTGCCCCCGGGCGGCTGGAAAGTTTCTACCCCTATGGTGCCACCGTAGGGGTAGAAACTTTCCAGCCGCGCTGGGGCAGGTGCCCCCGACGGCGAAAAAGTTTATTTTGTACCGTTCTTCGCCCGTTGAATAGACAGAAGCATTGCCCGCACCAGAGAGCGAAGGGCGCCGATGGGCGCCCCCGTCCACCGAGGCGGCGGCCCTGCCCGCGGCGCCCATGGGGCCGCCGAGGGGCCCCGTCGAGGGCCCACCCCGCAAGGCCCACCGCGGTGCGATGGGTTCGACGCGAGGGCCCAAAGCCCTTCGCGGTGTGAGGAAAGCATTCGGGGCTGGACAGAACCCCCAACAGTGACACGTCGATTAGTGAATTGTCCGTTTTCCGTTCTCGAGAGGGCGCCGTGGCCGCCATTTTCCAGGCTTGCGCCCGCCAGGTTTGGGCCTCAGGTCGTTTTCACTAAACCACGTTTTACTAAAGGGGGGTCTGTCCACCCCCGAAGCATGGCGGGAGGTTTTCAGGAGGGAAAGAAACACACAGACACAATTCATCGGCGACTCCCCCGAAACTATGGGAAACTATGGGAAGTGGGGGGGGAGGCAGAAGCCCAGAACATATGGGAGCCCTTCGCGGTGTGAGGAAGGCATGGCGGGAGGTTCTCAGGAGGGAAAGAAACACACAGACACAATTCATCGGCGTCTCCCCCGAAAATGTGGGAGACTATGGGAGGTGGGGGGGGGGAGACAGAAGCCCAGAAAAGATAGGAAAAGATGGGGAGTTTTTGATTTGCGTGTATTTATTTGTGTGTCCTGGGGCCCCTTCACAGACCCCTTCGCGTTGTGAAGAAGGCACGGCGGGAGGTTTGAATCGCTGTTCTCGGCCACCAGGGTCAAGTCGGGCCTGCCACGCTACAGGGCATACTATTCCAAAATGGGCAAAAGATAGGAAGGGGACGATTTGTTCGACAATGTTGGGCAGCTGTGGGCTATTTTTTCAGAATGCTTGGTTTTTCTTGCGAGATCCACGTGTAGGAGGACACGCCCGACCTACTTCGATGACCCAGACCCTGTCGCGTTGTGAAGGAATCACGACGGGAGGTTCTTCGCTGTTCTCGGTCACCAGTGGCCCTTGCATTGTGGAAGTATATTCATGGAGAGGAAGCATGCTGCCA